ACAATGAATGCAACACCATTCCTCTTCAATTTGTCATTTCCGGTATAGTAAACCATGTGGTCATCAGATTCAAAATGGCCAATACCAGTCCATTTCATCTCACTATTGCCTAAGCTATCGATGTTAATGCATTCCATTTCATTTTTGACAACTTGTAATTATCCCAGATTCATACTTTGTACATTCCATGTTCCAATTTTCAATGGATGTTTACAACTGTTTCTTTTCATTTTGAGTTGTGCCCCATCAGCAAATGAAGGTCCTGCAGGCTTTTCTCCCATGGGCTTTACTCTGTTCACGTCATCATGGTCAACTGTACTTTGAGGAGGCAGCTCTTCCCCAGTTGCATTTTGAGTGCCTTCCAACTTGAGGGGCTCACTTTCTGGCACTATATCTGACAGTGTTTCTCTGCTGTTCATAAGGTTTTCAGTTACTAAATATTCGGAAGTAGTTCACTACTCCTTCTTCCTAGTCTGTCTTCATCTGGAAGCTCATCTGAAACCTGTCCACCGTGGGTGACCCTGCTGGTTTTTAAAATACCGGTGGCATAGCTTTCAGAATCACAGCAACTCAGAAGCCACCACAGTACGACAAACTGACAGATGAGTGGTGGGGTTTGGGGACTACTTATTAAGCCAGTTGCTGGTCTGAGACCATCCGGCCCCACTGTAGTATGTATGTGTGTCCTCTAACCCAGCTTCAATTCCCATGTAAGTTGACCTGAGATAGCCACACTGTGTTTAAATGGACTAGGTCTGTCAGGTGGTAGTTGGGGTATCAGTGAAGGGAAGCCCATTGCTTAGATGCCTTTTTCAATAGTCTGCTAAAGCAAAAGTTCATGGACCCTCAGGACTTCCTAAATGTGTGCTAATTTCTCTGATTCTTTCCTCAGAAAGTCAGACTCTTTGTTCTGCCTTGTTCGCAACACTAAATAGTTTGGGTTTCTTTTTTTTTTTTTCTTCTCTAGGCAGATGAAAGCTGCAGACACTGCCATCAGGAAGAACGTCAGAAAGAGGTTAGCAAACATCAGGGTATATGAAACTTGGCCACTATTATAAGGTACTCAGAGCAACCCTATATATGGTTTCTGAGGCTATAAATCTACAGCGTCAGAAAGCTCATATTTATCCCATGGAGCGATTGGTGGGTTTGAATTTCCAACCTGAAATTAGCAGTCCAGTGCTGATCCTACAACGTTACCGGAGTTTCTGCTGTTGTAGGGTAGTGGCTCTCATGCCATAATGGGATTGTACAGTAGAACCACTCATAGAAACCTGGATGGGATTTTCAGAGGTGAGACAGCATGTTTGAGAATAAGAATCAGCTATCTTGAGTGCAAGACAAGAGCTTATTGGTCTTCCTACAAGTCTCTCAATACCACTAAGATAGAGCAAGCAGAAAAAAGGATACAAAAATCTGAAGAAGGTCTAAGATTCATGTTGGACTATATGAAGAGGAATAACTTAAGAATTATCAGCATTCTGGAACAGAAAGAATCACACAAATCCACAGAGGAAATAGTTGAAGAACTGCTGGAAGAAAATTTCTCTAACATCATGAAAAATGAAAAGATAAACATTCAAGAAGCTCAACGAACACCAGGAAGGATAGAACCCAAAAGAAAATTATTGAGACATATCATAGTCAAGCTCTCCAAAATTAAAGCTAAGGAGACAATCCTGAAAGCAGCTAGGGAAAAGAGAAGTATAACATACAAAGTCAAGCAAGTCAGATTAAGCTCAGATCTCTAAGCATAAACCATGCAGGCAACAAGGCAATGGGGAGACATATATAAAACCCTGAAAAATACTGCAAACCAAGAATCCATTATACAGCAAAACCATCGATCAAATACGATGGTATAATCAAAACATTCCAGGACAAACAGAAGCTAAGGGATTCTGTTAAAGCCAACCGTGCGCTACAAAACATCATAAAGGGAGTTCTGTGGACTGAGAACCAACAAGAACAGACAACAACCAGAGATTGATATACGTAGTAGAACCTCCCAGAACTAAATCGACAGAAGGAAAAGTCGAGAACAGAACAAAACTATAAGAACAAACTCAGAGAATCTGGGAGGTCAGT